CCGCGCCTGGAACTGGCGCCCGGCCAGCAGGCAGCCCCCACCGGCCCCATCGGGACCTGGCCCTACCCCTGCCAGGAGCTGCGCTAGGACCCCCCGCACCCCGCTCTGCCTAGCCCCCATAGCCAGGCCCGGCAGCCGCCTGTGTAAGCCAGTGGGCTCTGGGTGACATGCCCGGGATTGTCAAAACTGGGGGAAAGGCTCAGAACCAGGCCCACTGACAGCCACAGCCTGGGGTCCCCCTATGTATGGCACCAATCACCACCCCTCAAGCACCTCTGTTTGCTGCAATGGCCAGCAAGGAGTCACACAAGCAAATCCCTTCAGACACCCCAGTGCTTCCTGTGCCCCCCGTCCTCCCTCACACAGGGGAGCAGCTATAAAGCCAATCCCTCCCCTCCCTGTGCCCCCCAGCTCCACCTTACACAGGGGAGAGGTTATAACCCATCTCTCCACCTCCCCTCACACATTGCTGGAGCTGTTCCGACTCACGCTCACAGGGGCTCTGCCTGCCCACACCCACGTGGGAGGTTGTTCCTGCCCACACTCACTGGAGCTGTTCCCACCCATGGTCGCAGGGGCTCTGCCTGCCCACACCCTCATGGGAGGTTGTTCCCGTCCACACTCGCTGGAGCTGTTCCCACCCACGATCGCAGGGGCTCTGCCTGCCCACACCCACATGGGAGGTTGTTCCCGTCCACACTCGCTGGAGCTGTTCCCACCCATGGTCGCAGGGGCTCTGCCTGCCCACACCCTCATGGGAGGTTGTTCCCGTCCACACTCGCTGGAGCTGTTCCCACCCATGGTCGCAGGGGCTCTGCCTGCCCACACCCTCATGGGAGGTTGTTCCCGTCCACACTCGCTGGAGCTGTTCCCACCCACGCTCGCAGGGGCTCTGCCTGCCCACACCCTCATGGGAGGTTGTTCCCGTCCACACTCGCTGGAGCTGTTCCCACCCACGCTCGCAGGGGCTCTGCCTGCCCACACCCTCATGGGAGGTTGTTCCCGTCCACACTCGCTGGAGCTGTTCCCACCCACGCTCGCAGGGGCTCTGCCTGCCCACACCCTCATGGGAGGTTGTTCCCGTCCACACTCGCTGGAGCTGTTCCCACCCACGCTCGCAGGGGCTCTGCCTGCCCACACCCTCATGGGAGGTTGTTCCCGTCCACACTCGCTGGAGCTGTTCCCACCCACGCTCGCAGGGGCTCTGCCTGCCCACACCCTCATGGGAGGTTGTTCCCGTCCACACTCGCTGGAGCTGTTCCCACCCACGCTCGCAGGGGCTCTGCCTGCCCACACCCTCATGGGAGGTTGTTCCCGTCCACACTCGCTGGAGCTGTTCCCACCCACGCTCGCAGGGGCTCTGCCTGCCCACACCCTCATGGGAGGTTGTTCCCGTCCACACTCGCTGGAGCTGTTCCCACCCACGCTCGCAGGGGCTCTGCCTGCCCACACCCTCATGGGAGGTTGTTCCCGTCCACACTCGCTGGAGCTGTTCCCACCCACGCTCGCAGGGGCTCTGCCTGCCCACACCCTCATGGGAGGTTGTTCCCGTCCACACTCGCTGGAGCTGTTCCCACCCACGCTCGCAGGGGCTCTGCCTGCCCACACCCTCATGGGAGGTTGTTCCCGTCCACACTCGCTGGAGCTGTTCCCACCCACGCTCGCAGGGGCTCTGCCTGCCCACACCCTCATGGGAGGTTGTTCCCGTCCACACTCGCTGGAGCTGTTCCCACCCACGCTCGCAGGGGCTCTGGTAAAGGTTTATGAAAGAAAGAAAAGATGAAAGGTAGGATGGAAGAAAGGAATGGGGACGGGGATGGGGAAGGAAGGAAGGAAGAAAGGAATGGGGATGGGGACGGGGACGGGGACGGGGATGGAAGGAAGAGGGTTGAGCGTTGACATTGTTACAGAAGTTCCTGGGGATGAGCTGAGTGAAGACAAATGGGGGACCCCCCCAGGGCCCTCTCTGCACCCTGGTCTGGCTGTTCCCAGGGACGGGCCTCAGATGCGGATCGGCCCCACTCGAGGTGCATTGTCAGTCAAGTGCGGCTGGTCCCTGGGCTGGCTGCTCTGC